TATCGATCCCTAGTGAGATCAGTACCACATAACTCGACAAATCGATCCCTACTAATCGTATTGAGTTTTTTATCATTAAAATTTGATTGGGTTCTCTCTAGAGAAAATAGACTTGCCATGCCTTAATTATGGGCTTAACCGGGGACGTTTGGCCTTAGAACAACTCATTAGTCTTTGACTTAATGCCGTATTTTGGTTGGCGGCCACCGCGTTCAATCTCGTCTGTTTATCTGGGGGGGGTGAGGGTTGAGGTGTGGGGGTGAAGGGTGGGGGTGAGGGCTGAGGGGTGAGGGCTGAGGGTTGAGGCGTGGGGGGGGGGGGGGCTGAGGGGTGAGGGTTGAGGTGTGGGGGGCTGAGGGTTGGGGTGAGGGGGTGAGGGGTTGGGGTGAGGGGTGGGGGAGAGGGGTCTTGTGTTTTGGCTGAATGGCGCCGAATAAAGTTTAGTGGTGGTTGTTGTGTTAGAGATGGTTTTTGAGGCTGGTGTATGTATGGTTGTGGTAGTGGGAACGGGGGTTGTGGTTTGTTTTTGTGGTTGTTGTGTCGGGTTGATTTGTGTGTATAAGTGTGTGTGTTTGTGTGTATAAGTATGTGTGTTTGTGTGTACAAGTGTCCGTGTTTGCGTGTACAAGTGTGTGTGTTTGTGTATACAAGTGTGTGTATTTGTGTGTGTATTTGTGACAAAAAAATATCCATCTAAAAGTTAGAATGGTACGAAAACCCTCAAAAATGAAATACGCAACAACACCTCACCCTTACACTATGTCTCCTTTAATTTCACCCTTACATTTCGCACCCTTACATCTCACCAGTACACCATCTCACCCTTACATGTCACTTTTACATCGTCTCACTCTTACACAATCTCCCCCTTACATCTCGCCCTTACATCTCAACCTTACATCGTCTCACCCTTACATCTTACACTAAACTGCCTCACCCATACACCGTCTCTTCCTTAGATCTCACCCTTACATCTCACCCTTACACCGTCTCACCCTTACACCGTCTCACCCTTACACCGTCTCACCCTTACACCGTCTCACCCTTACACCGTCTCACCCTTACACCGTCTCACCCTTACACCGTCTCACCCTTACATCTCACCCTTACATCTCACCCTTACAACGTCTAACCCTTACACCGTCTCACCCTTACACCGTCTCACCCTTACATCTCACCCTTACACCGTCTCATCCTTACATCTCACCCTTACACCGTCTCACCCTTACACCGTCTCACCCTTACACCGTCTCATCCTTACACCGTCTCACCCTTACACCGTCTCACCCTTACACCGTCTCACCCTTACACCGTCTCACCCTTACACCGTCTCACCCTTACATCTCACCCTTACACCGTCTCACCCTTACATCTCACCCTTACACCGTCTCACCCTTACACCGTCTCACCCTTACATCTCACCCTTACATCTCACCCTTACACCATTTCACCCTTCCTTACACCACTTCACCCTTACACCATCTCACCATTACGTCTCATCCTTTGACCAACAGACACAAAACATTGCTTGCCAATATAAACACTTTCTACCAAATTACCTTGATTGGTTTCAACCATTTTAAAAGACGTGAGTGCGTCACGTGACCTTTCCAACCAATCAGATGTCTGCATCCATCCCACATGACCCGTGTTGACAGCGGTTTACTTTACTTCTAAAAATAGCCCACTTTTATGAGTCCCAAAAACGAAATTTGAAACGAAATGATGGTACTACGTTAAAAGGGCAATCAATTCGACACCAAAAATTGTTCCCTGGGCTAAACGGGAACAACTTTTATGGTTCCATCAATACTGGGGTACTGGCCGCAAAGTGGAACCGTTTTCAGACAGAGTTTTGGGGGTGGGGTGGGGTGGTATAGGGGTCATAATTATATGGTCGTCGGTACCAGAGGCGTATCCAGGTTTTCGTTGTAGGGGGAGCGAAAAGAGCAAAAAAAGGCGCCGAATTTTTAGCACGTCCTATATACGTGTATTATATATATATATATATATATATATATATATATATATATATATATATATATATATATATATATATATATATATATATATATACATATATATATAATTACTAGCTGTATGTCATTACTTCGCTATGATGAAAAATAAATTAAAAGTAGCGCTCTGAAGAAATAAGAAAAAACACACAATGTAGGCCGATAAAACAAAAATTGTATCAATCTAAACAATATATATATATATATATATATATATATATATATATATATATATATATATATATATATATACACTACAACTAAAAACAATGAACGTAACACAATCTGTTTTGTAATTCTTGTAAAAAAAAATTTCTTACATAATAATTCCTGGGAAATTATATAAGACAAGTAAAAAGAGGGGAAATAATCACTCTCTTAATATAAATATGTATATATCTACACATTTAATTATAAATGTCAAAATAAATAAATAATTAGTTTAGAATATAATGAAATTGTTTAACACTATTCATGTTTACAAAAAGTTTTTGTCTATAATCAAAATATAATATATCGTCATCATAAATGCTAAAGTATTACAGCATAATGAAAGTTTTTAAAATCTGAGTTGGTATAAAACCACGCTTTTCGATATAATAGATAAACATTCGGAATACCAGCCTACATTTAACTAAATATCGGTCTTAAGGTTCAGATCATATATTTAATTAACTACTGCTTCGGTGTGTTCTTTGAAGATCATTTTTTAACATAGTGATAGGTATGGGTTGGATCACTGTATTAATCACAAACCTTTTTATTGGTAATTGCAAAAACAATATTCACAGAGTTTTACGTTTAAAAAGCTAATTTTTTGGAGGCATGTTACATTGGTTTATCATCATTACGCGTTTTTCTACATGTACTTAACAGATCAGTTCGGGGTGGGTTGGGGGGGGGGGAGGGTTCAACTTCATTCACCACTGTCCGTTCACTTTAGGTCAATTATCCAACCCCGTGTATACCTGGGTGTGACATTAATGTCGCTCTACACAATTGTGGTGGTGAGGTGTGTGTGTGTGGGGGGGGGGGGGGTTACCAACTCAGACTGAACATAGCGTCAGTTTTTAGATGACTGTTCTAAACATACATATATATTACACAAATATAAATTACTCAAATATATATTACAGAAATAGATTTAAATAAGTAGCAGTGGTATTATGACAATATTTTTTTTTTACAGAAGGGTCCATGGGGGAGGGGGGCTTGTAACTGTTTCATATAATTTGTAATCGTAATCACTATCGCCCAAACTGTAAGAATACTACTACTTCATCGTGATGACGTTGTTGAACTTGTCAAAATTTCCCCACCACTAAGCAGTTTGCTCATAAGTAAATTTAAATAAAGGTGCCACATCAGTTGTATTTGTTTCTGTATTGTAATTTTTTCAAAAATTAATCACACGATTCAAACTGTATATATAAAGTATATATAAAGTAATTATGTGTGAAGTTTTATGTATAATATTTTCTAATTCAATTATTCGTAAGCACATACATTATACAGTTGCCCTAAACTTAACACCCCTCTTGCCAAGTGGTACTACCGTAGAGGTTTTTTAAACATTACAATGCATCGTAATGGTTATTTTTTAGAATGGCAAACTGATGCAGCTGTTAATACGTGTTGTAAACGTAGACACTACTAGACTAGTACAATAATGCTTAATTTCTGCATGAAAAGAAATCTTGTGATTTACATAGATGTGCCGACCAAAAATATTTTTTAACAAATATCATTGTTTAAAACTTTGAGTTTAAAAAGTTTCCAAAAAGGCGCCATTTTGATGAAAATGGCCAGAGGGGGAGCGGCCGCTCCCCCTGCTCCCCCCCTGCGTACGCTACTGGTCGGTACGTTTTGTAGACACCAGTGTGTCTTTAAACTAAGGACACAAAAATGTGTGTCTCCTCTTGTCTAGATTGATGTGTCTCCAATGTAAGCACACAGAAGGTGTCTTTGCTGTAAGAATACACAAATGTGTCTCTATACAAGGTCACACGAGTGTATTTAATGTGTATTAAATGTAAGCACACACAAAAAGACCAAACATGTGCCTATATCAGCCTAAAAAAATAATCAATTATAAACTACTTGTATCGGCCTATAAGACATAACCAAATTCAACCTACAAAAACACTTAACCAAGCATGGATTGCCTGTATCGGCCTAGAAAACAAAACAAATTGTATTTCACACATCCTGTTGACCTTCTCTAGAGGGTCATCCATAAATGGCGTCACGCTTTTTTTTGACGATTTTGACCTCCCCCCTCCCTTCCGTCACACATTGTCACAAAAAGCCAGACCCCCCCCCCCTAAAATGACGTCACACCTCAGCCTACACCCCCCCCCCTCCTCAAAATTACAGTTGAATTTTTTTTAAACATCAATTTTTCCAAAATCTTGTCTGAAGACTGTCCTAACAGAGTATTTTAATAAATTCCTATTATAATTTATTAAAACAGTTTTCTAAAACGCGAAATAACGTCTAAAATTGGTTTTCTAACATTGCTTTTTTATAATGCAAAAGTGTGACGTCTAATCATCTGAACTCCCCCCCCCCCTCATCACACACCGTCACAAAATTACGACCACCTCCCTCCCCCCGTCTTTTATGGACGACCCCTAGGAGACCTAACGTGTCAGGTCGACCTACCAAATGTAGAACACATTGATTTCCCCCAGACAAACGGCCAATATTAGACCTACAATGTTATTTCAACGTTCCAATGAGACCCAAGGCAAGAGAAAACAATCGAGTAACTACTAGAACAATTGTAAATCTACAAGTTTTTGTAAGTTGCAAATCTGAATGGTTATTTAAATGTTGTAAATCTGGCGTAGTTATGTAAGACCAGCCAAGTTACGTAATTTTTTTATCTGGAAGATTTGAGCAATTTGTAAATTTGGATGTGTTCTCTGACACTCGTAAATCTATAAAGATTGAAATCTTTTTATAGAACGTTTTTTTTACCAATTCATTTGTTTTAAAGCCTTGACGCCCACGGGGATTTGTATAGCATCTAGTTTAATCCTTATGATGACGTACATGCTGGCTTTTAATTTACAAACTTGGAATCATATTTCGTTTACAATTAGCCAGCTCATAATGACACCAAAACTTTCAAATTAAATTTCACTTTTTTTTTTAATTCATTTGATATAAGTACTTATCATTTGATATAATTATATACGTATCATTTGATATAAGTACGTATCATTTGATATAAGTACTTATCATTTGATATAAGTACGTATCATTTGAAATTTGTACGTATCATTTCCTTTTGTCGAATGTCTAGTCGTTGCAGCGCTTGTATGTTTGGCGGATTTCCCCTTTCAAGAAGGGAAACAAGGTAATTAAAAAGTCTAGTGACAATTTTAGCGCAATTTCCTTATGTTATCTAAAAATAGCTCTGTCGTAGCGTAAATCAAGAACAGGGTTAGTAAAACCATTGGTTAGTTATTAAAAGTTTTTTAATTAAAAAAATTTCAGTATTTTACATGTTTTATTTACAATACAGTTACATGACTAAAAACCTAGCTACCGAACGTGATGGCGCACCCATTGAACGTGATGGCGCAGCTATTGAACGTGATGACGCGTGTGGTGTGGTTGGATAAACATGCCTACTAATTTGGTCCAAATTTTAATTAATTCAAAAAAATATTTGTGACCGAACGAAAGGGTATTTTTGAAAACTTTCTTAGGCAATATTGTTCTAAATTATGGCAGGAATCGATTGGTACATGTTTCAAGTCGCTAAGTGGTCTGGTTGTCGAGATATGGGCCAAAAACTGCATTTTTTCGAGGTTTTTTGGCTTTTCCGGGAAATCCATGAAAGAAACCCGGAATTTTTAAGGCCTATGTTCATCCTCGTAACTTGCTTAACTTAATTGCTTTGGAACTAGTCCTCGATATTGCTTCGTTGAGGAGGAGATACGACTTAAAGCTGCGGACACATTCATACATTCCCAGAAATGACGGGTTAATAAACGCAATTCTCCAGAATGGAAATTGCTCTAAAAACCTTGAGTAAAGGGATGGTTTGGAATGTTCTATGGCCAATAAATGTGATGGTTTCTATTTGGGTTTGCTTCCACAGCCTTTATTCACCCAAACACAAACTACAATTGCTATCGAGCCTTATCTGAACGGAGTTTCGAACTCGGGACTTTACGTTTTAGCAGCCTTGAGATGTACCGACCCGACCACGCCTACCTTAGAATATTAATGTCAATCAAAACCCATAACAACAATGTTTGAGTTGTCGTCAGCCCGTTCACCAAGTTGCGTCCCCTTAAACCAGGGGTCTCCAAACTTTTCAGTCTGAGGGCCGCATTACCCATCAAATTTCAGTTCGGGGGCCAGTTTCTTCCAGGCATGTCTTTAATTTTTCTGGACAAAGTTCCTCAGCCATCACAAACAGACGATTTTTCCTTGGACAAAAAGATCTCCGCGGGCCGGATGAGAGAACTTCGCGGGCCGCATCCGGCCCGCGGGCCGTAGTTTGGAGACCCCTGCCTTAAACTGTCAGTGAAATATCCACGCTAATTTAAATTCTGTCAAAACAATTCCAGACCACGTTTTAAAACTGACACAACAGTGCTAGCAATCAGTGTAGACCGTACTACACTAGGGGAAGTTTGACGTGTTTTCATGCACCTTTCTGTTATCGCTAATTAATTAATTAAAACAAGATTTATTTTGTCTAGTGTGGTCTAACATTAGCCACATGCTTCACTACAAATAGACCCTTGCACCAGTAAACAAAACAAGAAAATGTGAATCAATTCTGTTATCACTTTGAAGGCGGCTGTAAACATCATATCTTGATGTTCAGGGAGGTATAGGGAGGTTCGGGGAGATACGGGGAGATACGGGGAGGTACGGGGAGATACTGAGAGGTACGGGGAGGTTCGGGGAAATATGGTGAGATACGGGGAGGTACGGGGAGATACTGAGAGGTACGGGGAGGGGGAGGTACGGGGCACAACCCCTGGGTATGGACTGAGTACTAGCTAGAAGCACCCCTGGGTATGATGGCAGCACCGCTGGGTATGATGGCACCACCGCTGGGTATGCAGGCACCACCCCTGGGTATGATGGCAGCACCCCTGGGTATGATGGCAGCACCCCTGGGTATGATGGCAGCACCCCTGGGTATGATGGCACCACCCCTGGGTATGCAGGCACCACCCCTGGGTATGATGGCACCACCCCTGGGTATGATGGCACCACCCCTGGGTATGGACTGAGTCTACTAGCTGACCGCACCCCTGGGTACCAGCCACAGTGATCACATAATGAAACAATGCCCTGTCTGTTTGCTGTAATTATGCCGGTCTATTGTCCTGTTCAGCGTGATGGTCTTGTGGCACTTCATTGGATGCTGGAATAAAACAAAAGATAATTTGTCTACTCAGCTGGTCGTGTCGGGTGGTACGTGGGTGTGGTGGGTTTTGTGGGTGGCACTTGGTTGTGGGTGTGGTGGGCAGCAGGGGGATGTGGTGGGTGGGTGTGGTGGGTGTAGTGGGTGGCACGTTGGTGTGGTGGGTGGAAGGTGGGTGTAGTAGGTGGCAAGTGGTGTGGTGGATGGGTGTGGTGGGGTAGCAGGTGGGTGTGGTGGGCGGGTGTGGTTGGTGGCAGGTGGATGTGGTGGTGGTGGGCAGGTGGGTGTAGTGGTGGGCAGGTGGACGTAGAGGTGGGCAGGTGGGTGTTATGGGTGGCACGAGGGTGTAGTGGGTGGCAGGTTGGTATGTCGGGGATGTGTCGAGTGGAATTCGTGTCGTGCGGGTTTCTTCTGTGAGTGTGACGTACCACTTGAGATGCAAAAATTGCTAAATGGCTTTGGAGGAAAATGTTCAAATATATTGTTGCCTTTGGTGTGTTTAAAATAGTGGTCCTAGAGTGTGTGTGTGTGTGTGTGTGGCGGGGGGGGGGGTGGAGTAACGTGTGAGAATAAAATAGATTGAGACTAAGCTAACAGACTCAGTCAGCTACCCTACACTCCAACAAACTCGAGCTGAGAGTTGATGAGCAGGTTCAACATGAGAATATTTTCTGATCTGTAGCTAGCTGTAAACACATATAGGGGGATGTCGTACAAATCTAGGAGATGTAAGCTTGTATCATACAGGGGATGTAAGCTTGTGGCAAACAGGGGATGTAAGCTTGTATCATACAGGGGATGTAAGCTTGTGGCAAACAGGGGATGTAAGCTTGTATCATACAGGGGATGTAAGCTTGTGGTAAACAGGGGATGTAAGCTTGTATCATACAGGGGATGTAAGCTTGTGTCATACAGGGGATGTAAGCTTGTGGCAAACAGGGGATGTAAGCTTGTATCATACAGGGGATGTAAGCTTGTGGCAAACAGGGGATGTAAGCTTGTATCATACAGGGGATGTAAGCTTGTGGTAAACAGGGGATGTAAGCTTGTATCATACAGGGGATGTAAGCTTGTATCATACAGGGGATGTAAGCTTGTGGCAAACAGGGGATGTAAGCTTGTGGCAAACAGGGGATGTAAGCTTGTATCATACAGGGGATGTAAGCTTGTATCATACAGGGATGTAAGCTTGTGGCAAACAGGGGATGTAAGCTTGTACCATACAAATACAATGGATGTAAGCTTGTACCATACAAATACAATGGATGTAAGCTTGTCTCATACAAATACAATGGATGTAAGCTTGTCTCATACAAATACAAGGGGATGTAAGCTTGTCATACAAATACAGGGGATGTAAGCTTGTCAAACAAATACATAGGATGTAACGATGTGTCACAACGAGAATGTAACTGATTACATCTACGGTGTCGGGTTCCTTCCTCAATGAGGCCTTGCTGTAATGAATAATACGTTCATGACGTCATCAATTTTAGAGTGGAGTGGGATAATGTTTTTATGATGTAATAATCTGATGCAGGGGATGACAATCATACGGGGGGGGGGGGAGATCATCCAATATTAAAACGTATTTTTGGACAGCCTTTTGAGTGCATGTAGGTTAATTGAACAATTAAATATTTTTAAATGCTGCATCTCCGTGTGACAGCCTGCTCTAGATGGAGGCTCGTCTTACTTTTCTCTGGAACCGATTTCTTTTTTTACTTTCTTTAAACAAAATATGCCATTAAAAATGCCATTAAAAATGCTAGCTCTAGATTTAAATGTGTGTCGTCTTGTTAGTGCTTTCTGTCTCTCCTGTTACCTACACACACACTCCCACCCTCACATCCCATACCACACACACACACACACTGCAGCAACCACACACCTGTTGTAGACTACCCTCTCCTTCCCCACACATCTCTACCCCCCACACCCCACCCCCACCACTTACAGCACCCCACACACCTGCTATAGACCGTCCTCTCCCCGCGATTCTCTTTAATCAGCCGCGATTAGATTTGTCAAGAATCGATTACCAAGCTGGAACCGACTCAGGGCTGCGGTCATTTAAGCCTGGACTGTCCTGATTGAAAATCGATTCCTAGAACCGCCAGGGCAGCGATACGGGGGAGCTGGTCGGATGGGGGAGGGGGTGGGGGGGAGGCTAGAGGGACAACTCTAATCAAACATACAAGCTACTATAACAACACCCGACCAAGGGTTACTTTCAGCTAATCTCTCGTCTGCAATCAATACCCCCCTCCTACAACTTTCTTGTAAAGATGAAACCTACTTAGCTGACCACTGGACAAGTTCTGGTGGTTTGATGTTTCAACATTAGGCTGTTGTCCTTTAATAAAGTGGGCCTAGTTACATCTAAAATAGGTAAGTGGGTGCCTAGTTGCATCTAAAATAGGTAAGTGGGTGCCTTGTTACATCTGAAATAGATAAGTGGGTGCCTAGTTACATCTGAAATAGATAAGTGGGTGCCTAGTTACATCTGAAATAGATAAGTTGGTGCCTAGTTACATCTGAAATAGATAAGTGGGTGCCTAGTTACATCTGAAATAGATAAGTGGGTGCCTAGTTACATCTGAAATAGATAAGTGGGTGCCTAGTTACATCTGAAATAGATAAGTGGGTGCCTAGTTA